GTTGCGATGGAACTCGAAAGAGAAGAGGATCGACCTCAAGATCTATTGGACTCCTTACCTGTTGAATTACTGATCAAGGTTCTCAGAGATCAGGATCTGCCAATTTTGACTCTTGCGGAATGTCGTGTAGTTTGTAAGAAATGGAAGGCAATCATAGATGGGACGGAGTTACGGAATAAAATCTGGAATAAATCTGTTATCATGTATTATGATGAAAGTATTGACAATACGGCGTACTTCTGCTTTAGTCATATATGGATCAGAAGAAATATTACATTTGGGCCCAAGTACGTGGTCGCTGCTGATGGAGGCCTACTGTGTTTCAATGACATGTTGTCAACCGAATATGTCATTTATAACCCTGTTGAGGACAAATTCCTGACTTTGAACGTACCTCATGAAATCGATGGAGTGTCTACAGTCTTCGATGGTATGCTTGAGTGCATCGTGGTGGGTTTAGTCGTGGACCAATCAACAAAACACTTCAAGCTGGTTTTGGGAGGAGTTCTAGTCCCAGATAGAAGCAGATCTTTGATTTTCGATTCGATTACCAGCACATGGTCGTGGATTATTCATCCTTTTCCTACATTGTTGAACTGGATGGAAGTAGGGTGGCACAGTGAGAGATGTGTAGTATGTAATGGATGTTTGTATTGGCTCGTATGGGATCCCAGAGTCACGATTAAGGCTCTATTGATATTTGATATGAGAGAAGAAACATGGATTGTTTTGGCAGAGGAAGTCATGGAGGACAAGCCAGGTGCCCTTCAGATTGTTGCATATGAAGGATGTGTGTGCTTACTCGCCATGGATTGGACTGATGTGGAGTTTGATCATAGGAGCTATGACGGCAACTTTCTCCGCCATCCAATGGTCCGGAGAATGGATGGATCTCTGATCAGGAGAACAAGAGATCTATGGGTTATGGAGGATGTCAGAGCTTTCAAATTTTATGCTTCGGGAGGCAGTGATGTGTTCTTCGTTTTCGAGGAAGAAGGTGAAGACCTTGAGGTGGCGAAATACTGGGCTGAAGTCGACATGATGTTTTTCTTACCCGAACCTCCTTTTCGCGCAGCCCATGAGTTTCATTTATGGGGATTTCTGCCACGTGTTTTTCACGACCCGTGGTGTGCGATAATTCCAGCGCCCGGAGTAAATACAAAGCAGGATTGGAAAAGATAGCAGCAGAGACATCTGTAATAGGAGGTGGGGGATTCTCCCAGACAAGATGACGTAGTGGAAGTCCCAAGAGAAGTTATAGGAGTCTCAGGACAGATCAGCTCACCGAAATATATGTCGTTTGGACTACAGTGAAACCTCCGCATAAGGTACATCCCATTTGCTCCGAATGCTTTTAGTTTTGTACCTTATGGAGTGGATGTACCTTATATGGAGTACTCTAACCCTAAGTGTACAGTAGTGGAAATGAATAATCATCTAGAATTTATTGGAAATATTGCTCAATTGAAGATTGCTTTAACTTTGAAAGAGATTGAATTTTGGCATTAAACCCAACAAATCCATTTTTTCGCTGAAGAGTGAGTTGGCTTTGGTAAAAGCGATTAAATCAGACCCATTTCTTTTGCATGCACAAAGGTAATCACGTTCGGTTGTTGGGGCTCAATGTCTGCAGTTTCTGATGCAATTTCTTCCATTTCATCTTCACTACCAACGCGAATAAATTTGTGGACTAAATGTCCGATGAGTTTTGCTTCTACCCGAGCATCACATTCTGGTAGATGCTCCTCAACGACAAGCTTGGATCTGTCAAGGCCGATTCTTTCAAAAACCAAAGTGAGCTCTTGTTCTTGCTCCAAGATTTCTGTAGTTTCTTGCTCCTGGAAAGTGGGAATAACAAATCCACATAGTACAAAACATTTTTGGAAAGTCTACGCCTTGACAAGATCCCATGACTTATCCACAAACTTGATCGCATCAAGAACCGTCAACTTTTTTGCAAGATCTGATGCATGAACCAAAGAATCTTCCATTGAGTCGAGCAGGAAAAGCACTTCAAACTTCCGTGATAAAGCTTTCAAGCTTTTGACAATGCCAGCATCAAAAGGCTGTAAGACTGATGTGAGATTGGGTGGAAAAAAGTGAAGTTCAATGCTAGTCGATTTGGTGGCTTTGTCAACGATATGAATAAGGATGTTATTCAGAAAGAGCAAAATCTTTTGACCTTGTTGCTTGAAGAACTCATCCAGGTCTTTCAAATAAATATTGAACAGTGGATTAGTCATCCACGCCTTTGCACTGCTCAAATACTTGGCCTTGAATTTGCTCATGTTCTCATAAATAACAAGGATTCTTTGACTTGTTGATTGTCCAAGGCGGTAGTTTTTTGCCCATATTTGAGCAAGTTAGAGCCACATTGATTCTGTCTTTGCCTTGTTTCCCTCCTTTACATGAATCAGCGACGTATTTCAGTGTTGAATCAGGTAAGGCTCGGAAGAATACACCTACTCATCCATATTAAACACGTTCCTGAGATCATAGCCTGCTAACAATGACTGCAATGATGTCTTACATTGTTCAGCGCCTGTAAGATCTACATTTCTTGATTCTCCACAAATCTTGTACGATTTTACATTGTTCCTCTACTTGCACTTTTGCAGCCAGCCTTTAGTTGCAGAAACTTCTTTAGCATCAATTCTCAAACGACTAGCGATTTGTTTTGATTTCTCTTGCAAAATGGAGTCACTTATCGGATAGCCACGTAACCTAAATGTTGAAAACTATCTTAATAGAATGACATTGATGTCAGTCTGCTGAACAATTCTGGCTTTAGAGAGTGCCGGATTGCTCTCTGCTTCTTTCAACAACAGTACTCTATTCTGCTTTGCTGCCTGAACGGTTACTTTGGATAAAGAAAACTTATCAGCTGTGGCCATCGTCAAGGTACTTGATGATGGAAAGCTTGGTGCTCAAGTCAACCAGCTTTCGTTTCTTCTTGTTCAACATTACGTACGACATCTAGAAGTGTTAGTTTTCTTGTTTCAGAAGCGGCTATGATTCACAATGACTCTCCAATGGAGTTGCTGAACATGTCCAAGGGATTGGGTGCCTCATCAACGACAAAAACATCTAAAGGTTGAGGATGTACCTTGTATGAAGTTGCGTGGCTACTCCGTGGCCGGCCAGGGTGTACTTTGCGTACTAAACGGAGGTCTTCCTCTTATAGAGAGATTTTATTTAGGTAAAGATGGAGGTTTGCAATTCCTACAAAAACCCGCACCATATACGGAGTTGTACCTTATACGGAGGTTTCACTGTACATAGTTTTTAACAATTGGAATGTCATTTTGAGTTCATGTTAGTCTGGATTGGGCTGATTGTTATTTAAATAAAAATCTTTTTTTTTTTAAATTTTTGTTGATAATCTCATCTTCAGTCCCTATTTGTGAAGCAGGTAATTTATGTTGATGCGGTATAAATAAGAATGTCAATCATAATGAGTGTTGATTAAAGTGACACTGGATATGCGAGCATGTTATATCTTTCCCTTTCATAGACATTACTTGCGAACTTGTACTTAAAAATTAGTGATTCTGATGATGCTTAGTTATAGCTTTTCCATTGTCCAAATTATCTACAATAGAGGAGATTATTCATTGGTATTAAAGTGGAGTTCTATGGAAGTTCATGAAGTACTCTAGCCTGGGACATTATGGATGCACATGTATTGGAATAAGTCATGAACTTTGATCTTTGTTGTATCTCAAAGACTTTGTTGCAATTCCAAGGAGCCACCAAGAGCTCTAGATAATGTTCATGCACATTAGTACCACCAATCTGATTGGATTCGAACATGGATATAAATGATGATGTAATTTATGGTGAATGCCCAATCAACGTAATACACTTACGTGTTTGATAGAATTATTTTAAGAATCAAAGGATTGATTTTTTGATTTCAAGGAGCACACTGTTAATAGGACTCGCTACATGACAGTGCAATTGGTGCTAAACTCTAAGACAAGTTCTTGGCAAAGTACCATATCAGAATCATTATTATTCTCATAACATAAGACTTATTTTCTTAGCAAAAGATGTGAAATCCTTTGTACATTCATAACAACTAAGCTTGAAAGCAATGATTAGAGATATACTGCCACGAAGATGACTGCCGTTGAGATAACTATTCCAATCTATATCGAACAAGCTCATCCTAGCGAAAATAAGATATCCAGTAGTCAAGCTTTTAAACAACATCAAGGAAAAAATGCTTAGAAAGGACTAGATGAATTTAAAAAACGAAATATTACAAGATTTTAGATCATAATGATCAAATACAAAACTATCTACATCGTGGAGCAACAATGAAGAAAAACGTTAAGTCTCAAGTGAACGGCTAATTTATTCACGGTGTAAATAAATTAGTATAACTTATCTGTGGGGTTAACATATGTCTTTGAAGATTGGATAAATACTTAACCGTGATTTGATAAAAAATCTAGCAAAATTAACGAAAACTTTGTGAGGGTGAAGATTAACAATGCAAGGATGGTAGGCGGGTTGATGAACAAAACTGTAAACCAAATAACTTCTACGTATCCATTGATAGAGGAATATTTTATCTTTGAAAATATGTTGATGCCCAATGTGGAGGTGAAGATTTATCAGTCCTTTTTTTAAGCTCGAACGTATTTATTCTTGACAAAATAATGAATTCATAAATAATATTAGATTCACACTGTATTTCATACTACCAATATAAATCGAAAGATAGCTCGATGGAGTACTGTTGAGAAAATGTTTTTAAAATTGTAAATAGTATGTTTATACATCAAACTGTGAAATTGACAGTAAACGAACACCTATTTCAAAATGACTTGCTGAGATTACCGATGCACAAGTAACTGTCAACCGATAGTAGTCGGTGTTTCGGTCGGTGAATTCTTAGTTCGGAACTTTAGTGACGGGACCTTCTCTCCCGTTCCCTGTCCCTTATCTGACGTTCGAATGCTTCGTCAGTGTTATCACACTTCTCTTGTCCACACTTTTGCAGCCAGCGTTTTGACAGCTGCTTCACACGTATATATGCAGATATTGCAACACACAATTGTTTTCATTTGTGCAGATCTGTTTCAATCCGCGTGAGAATTATTGTCAACATTAGCTCACAATTGACTGCGTACTGTTACCTTCTGAGATGTTGCAGATTGCAGATGCAGCGATGAACTCATATGTATGATCTTTCAAAAGTTTCATTCGTTGAGATGGAACCCGAAAGAGATCAGCATCATCCTCAAGATCCATTGGGAAGTCTACCTATCGATTTCCTGATCAAGATACTCAGAGATCATTATCTCCCAATTTCCACTCTTCTCGAATGTCGTTCAGTTTGTAAGAAATGGAAGGAGGTCATAGATGGTCCTGAGTTACAGAACAAAATATGGAAAAAATCTGTTATTGTGTTTCATGAACATCGTGAAAATAAGGCCCACTTCTGCTGCAGAGATCGATGGATCACAAGGAATCTTCCACACCTCCTTGGGCCAAAGGAGCTGGTCGCTGCTGATGGATGCCTGCTGTGCTTCGGTGAACGACTTTCAAGAGCATATGTCATGTATAACCCAGTTCCAGACAAAGTTCTGATTTTAAACGTACCTCTTCAAATCAATGGAGAACATACAGTCATTGATGGTATGCTGAACTGTAAGGTGGTGGGTTTAGTCGTTGACCCATCGACGAAGAACTTCAAGCTGGTTTTGGGAGGAGTTCAAGTCGGAACAGATAGACTGAGAACTTTGATTTACGACTCGACGACCGGTACATGGTCGTGGGGAATTCATTCGTTTCCTGAATGGATGAAAGACTTGTGGGACTGTAGGAGAAGTGTAGTATGTAATAGATGTCTGTATTGGCTCGTACGGGATCCCTCTAGGAGAAATTTGAGTGCTCTCTTGATATTTGATCTGGAAGAGGGAACGTGGAACGCCTTGGTAGAGGAATCCATGGAGGCCACGCCACTTGACCTTCAACTGGCTGCGTATGAACGACATGTGTGCCTTACTCCCAGTAATTGGTCTCCTCTGGAAGGGGAGTTTGAACGTAGGAGCGATGTCGCCAACTTCTTCCGGAACCCCATAGTCCGAAGAATAGATGGAGCTTTGATCAGGAGAGTAAGAGATTTTTATGATCGAACTTTCATCAGGAGATGGAGATTAATATGGAACATGGACGAAGCAATGGATGGAGATGTTATCAGGTGGTTTAAAAATCTAGATTATCCCATGTTTTTCAACTTCTATGCCACAGGAGGCAGTGATGCATTTTTCGTGATCGATGAACAACGCATAGAATTTGAGGTGGTGAAATACTGGGCTGAATTAGACTCGATCTTTTTTCTACCCCAGCCTCCTTTTCACTCACGCAATCGGGCTCAATACTTTGTATACGATCCGAGCCCCGACGACCCTTGGTGTGCAATGATTCCAAGTCCCAGAGGAAGTGCAGGGCAGGGGTGGATGAGACAGCAGGAGTATGTAGCACAGCAGCAGAGACAGGAGGAGGAGGAGGACTCGCCGGAAGCTCTAAGGCGAGCTATTAGGGACGCTGTTAGGCAAGTGTTTAGGCAAGCTTTTGGGCAATCAGATTGACGTGGCAACGGAATTTCCATGAGAAGGAGGTTTCTTCGGACCTTCAGGACAGATCCGCTTACCGAAATACGGGTCCTCTAACACTCAATTCTGTGCAGGGATGATAATTTGGCATTGGTTTAAGAGGGTAAAACAGTAGATTCAGATTACTCTTCTCGATAAGAGGAAAAATGTCCTTTTCTTGGTAAATAACTTTACATTTAGTTCTCTATCCAATTAGGAATCAACGTTAAAATATATCTAGATTGTTTGTGAACGTAATTTTACAATCCAGTTTACTGTAGGCTAACTGGTTGACAAAGCGATCAATATCATCTACAGTGCACCTTGGATTTCTTTGTAAACTGAAAACAGGAATTTTCAACCCATTCAGTATTGTCTTCTGACTCTCCGTCCACTTGCATGTTTTGCGTTGATCTGAAAAACTTTAGAACAGCGACCTCAAGAATTCTCGACAGTTGCTGATCAAAGTGCACCAAGTCGTTGTCATATTCGTTGACATGAACAATAAATATCGTTTTCTGATAAGTTCTCGATAACTATTCCCCTTGGGACACCAGTAATCATCAAAGTTTAGGCTATAGCGTCTCTACGTTCTACTCGCAGAGACTACATTAATATAGCAACTGTTTTGGTAGAATAGACAAGTATATCAGTTTTTATGATATTCAATTTCAATTGAACTCAAATTAGTTCAGATTGATCTCATTAAGATGTTAACCTTCTCATGGGATTTGCCTCATCAGATAAACTTTGTCAGAGATAATGGCTTACCCACACATATTAGACTAGAGCCGCCATAAGAACTGTCATAGCTTCATATTTTTCATGTTCAGAGCAATATTTTGAGATATCGTCAATCTACTAACTCTGAGGGTTTTTCTGTTTAAAAATGGCCCGTCTTCCACAAGTATCTCAACAAGGTTCTTAATGGTGATTAGCGCCTTGATTACCTTCCTAACTCTAGCGTTCTCTAGTTTTCCTACGAACATTAGTTTGACTATATATATGACTAACTGGAGTCAAGAGAGTAATGAATCATTTGTTCAAGTTCGAATAAATCTGCTCTAGAATACTTATACAATTTTATATAAAATTGAGCTTTTATATAAAATTAGCATTCAGATTTCCATTAAATTAATTATTGAAAATAAGAAGATAGTTCATCAGAGTAGTCATTTGAAAAAAATATGAGAGTTAGTCTTTGGCGTTCCGAACGAGTATGTTTCTCCTTCAATTTCTAAAAATGGTAGTTAAACGTACACCGAATTCAAAATGAAATGCTGAGATGACCGATGCGTAGCTCACTCCTAACTACAGTAGTCCGCATTCCGGTCCAGAACATTAGATCTCCAAACTTAAGAAGAACTTCTCTCCCGTAGTCTGACCATCGACTGTTTCCTACGAGTTACCACTCTTTTCTACAACACACATGAAATTATTGCATCATACAATCCTTCTCATCTGAGCCTCTCTTTGTCAACCAGCATGAGAATTTTTTCAATATTTAATTGCAGTTGACTGATTAGTGTTTCCTTCTGAGATGTTACAGATTCGATTCAGAGACGACCTTTATATATTTCATCCTTTAAAGCTCGTTTTTGGTAATGGCTCTCCAAAGAAAAGAGGAACGACCTCAAGATCTATGGGACACATTACCTAATGAATTACTGAATAAGGTTCTCAGAGATCAGGATCTTCCCAGATCCACTCTTGTAGAATGTCGATCAGTTTGTAAGAAATGGAAGGAAAGCATAGATGGTCCGTACTAATTTCAGACTATCAATAAAAATCGAAGTCCTTAAAAGTCCTGAAAAGTCTTGTATTGGTAATCGAACCGAAATTCTTCCGTGACGCTTGGTGTGCAACAATTCCAGCGCTCTGAGTAAATGCAGAGCAGAAATGGATAACACAGCAGCAGAGACTTCTGTAGTAGGAGGTGGGGGATTCTCTCATAGAAGAGGACGTAGTGGAAGTCCGAAGAGAAGTTATGGGAGTTTCAGGACAGATCAGTTCACCGAAGTATATGTCGTTTGCTTTACATCGTTATTAACAACTGGAATGCCATTTTAAGTTCATGCTAGTCTGATGAGCTGGTTGTTTTTCAAATGATATATTTAAATAAAACTTTGGTTTTTTATGTTTCTTTTTTTATACTCTCATCTTCAGTGTGAGCAGGTTATTTATGTTGATGAGTTATTAATATGAATGTCAATCATAATGAGTAGTTAAGATAGTGAAACTCCATATGCAAACATATTATATCTTTTCCTTTCATAGACATTACTTTCGAACTTATAATCGAAGGTTAGTGCTTATAATGATGGTTGATTATAGTTGTTTTTATGTCCTAATTATTCCACAATAGCGGAGATTTCTCATTGGTATTAAGGTGGAGCTCTAACCTGGAAAATTGTGGATGTACATGTAGCGGAATAAGAATTTTGATCTTTGTTGTACCTCGAAGACTTTTTTGTCACTCCAAGGGGCCAAGAGCCCTGGATAATACTCATCCGCGATAGTACCACCAATCTGATTGGCTTCGAACATGATTTTGGATGATGATGTAATTTACTTTGAATGCCCGTCCAATCAACGTTATTTGGTACATTTATGTGTTGGAAAGAATTATTTTAGCAATTGGAGTATGCCCCTACGGAAGAACATTTCTTCACTTTACCCGTCTAAACTCGGAGTACAACACAAAGTATCTTGTTTAAAGAAGATTCAGTATTATCAGATGCAGAAACAGAGAAGGCTGAAGGCTGAAGTCACGTGAGAACTCATCAACAGATCCTGAATTGTGTATGAAAGGTGTGTATGGAACCTAGACTAGAAGTACTCATAGATATAGTTGAAAATTATTAATTATCAAGTCCTTCATAGAAAATCAAAAGAAAAGACATCGTAGTTTTATGTATCAATCTAAAAAAATATTACAGTTAAATTTTAGGAACAAAAGATATGTCCTTTTTATCCGTGGGGTAAGATATGTCATTTTAGATTGGATGTATACTTCACCTTGATTTGAAATAATTGTAGCAAAATTAACGTGATCTTTGTGAGGGTGGAGATGGACAATGTAAGGATGGTAGGCGGGTTAATGAACAAAACTTTAAAACTGTAAACCAAATGCCTTCTGCAAATCCACTGATAGAAGAATATTTTCTCTTTGAGAATATGTTGATGCCTCAGTTGGAGGTGAAGAGTTATCAGTTATGAAGTTCGAACGTACTCTTGGCAGAATGCTTAAATTCAGTATTACTCTTAAATTCAAATTGTATTTCGTAAGATCAAAAAAATCGAAACATACACGAACGGAGTACTGTTGAGAGAATGTTTTTGAAGTTGTGAATAGAATGTTTACACTTCAAACTGTGGAATTGACAGTTGAACGAACACCTAATCCAGAACGACTTGCTGAAATTACCGATGCATAAGTGACTGTCAACCGATACTAGTCGGTGTTTAGGTCGATGACTTTCATGGTTCGGGACTTCAGTAGGGAGAACTTCTCTCCTGTTCTCTGTCCCTTATCTGACAATCGACTGCTTCGTCAGTTGTATCACTCTTCTTTTGTCCACACTTCTGCAGTAAGGAGAACTTCTCTCCTGTTCTCTGTCCCTTATCTGACAATCGACTGCTTCGTCAGTTGTATCACTCTTCTTTTGTCCACACTTCTGCAGTTAGCGTTCTCAAGTTTGACAGCTGCTTCACACGTATGTATGCAGATACTGCAACACACAGTTGTTTTCATTTGTGCCCATCAGTAAAAATCCGCGTGAATTTTCGTCGACGTTAACTCACAATTGACTTGACTGAGTACTGTTTCCTTCTATGACGTTGCAGATTGCAGATTCAGAGATGAACTCATATGTATGATCTTTAACAAGTTCGTTAAGATGGAACCCAAAAGAAATCAATATCAACCTGAAGATGCATGGGAAAGTCTACCTATTGATTTCCTGATCAAGATTCTCAGAGATCATTGTCTGCCAACTTCCACTCTTCTGGAATGTCGTTTAGTTAGTAAGAAATGGAAGGAAGTCATAGATGGTCCTGAGTTACGGAACAGAATATGGAAAAATTCTGTTATTGTGTTTCATGCACGTCGTGAAAATACGGCCTACTTCTGCTGTAGAGATCAATGGATCACAAGAAGTCTTACATTTGTGCCCAAGAAGCTGGTCGCTGCTGATGGAGGCCTACTGTGTTTTGGTGAGCGATTATCAAGAGCATATGTCATGTATAATCCAGTTCCGGACAAAATTCTGATTTTAGACGTACCTCTTGAAATCAATGGAGAACATACAGTCATTGATGGTAGGCTGAAGTTTAAGGTGGTGGGTTTAGTTGTTGACCAATATACGAAAAACTTCAAGCTGGTTTGGGGAGGAGTTCAAGTCGGAACAGATAGACGCAGAACTTTGATTTACGACTCGACTACCGGTACATGGTCGTGGGGAATTCATCCGTTTCCTGAATGTTTGATAACCGTGTGGGATTGTAGGAGAAGTGTAGTTTGTAATAGTAGTCTGTATTGGCTCGTATGGGATCATTATTGGAGCAAGATGAAGTTTCTCTTGATATTTGATCTGAAAGATGGAACGTGGAACGCCTTTGTAGAGGAATCCATGCAGGCCACGCCTATTGACCTTCAAATGGCTGCGTATGAAGGACATGTGTGCCTACTTGCCAGTAATTGGTCTCCTCTGGAAGGGGAGTTTGATCGTAGGAGAGATGTCGCCAACTTCGTTCGGAATCCCATGGTCCGAAGAACGGATGGAGCTTTGATCAGGAGAGTTAGAACTCTATATGATCGAGCTTTGATCTGGAGACAGAGATTTCCATGGAACCTCCTGTACGGAGAAATGGATGAAGCTATTATCAGGAGGTTTATAAAGCAATGGGTTCTAGATTATCCCACAGTTTTCAACTTCTATGCCTCAGGAGGCACGGATGCATTTTTCGTGTTCGATGAAGAAGGCATAGAACTTGAGGTGGTGAAATATTGGGCTGAATTAGACTCGATCTTTTTTCTACCCCCGCCTCCTTTTCACTCACGCAATCGGGTTCAATACTTTGTAAACGATCCGAGCCTCGACGACCCTTGGTGTGCAATAATTCCAAGTCCCAGAGGAAGTGCAGGGCAGGGGTGGATGAGACAGCAGGAGTATGTAGCACAGCAGCAGAGATGGGAGGATGAGGAGACGCTCTTAGGGACGATTAGGAAAGCTCTTAGGCAATCAGGTTGACGTGGCAATGGAGTTTCCATGAGAAGGAGGTTTCTTCGACCTCCAGGACAGATCCGCTTACCGAAATACGGGTCTTCTAACACTCAATTCTGTTCAGGGATGATAAGGTGGCATTGGTTTAAGAGGTTAAAACAGTGGATTCAGATCACTCTTCCGATAAGCGGGAAAAACGTCCTTTTCTTGGCAAATAACCTTACATTTAATTCTCTATCCAATTACGTTCCAAGGTAAAGATATATCTGGATTGTTTCTAAACGTAATTACACAATCTAGTGCACTGTAGGCTAAATTGACAAAGCGATCAATATCATCTACAGTGCATCTTGGATTTCTTGATAAACTGAAAACGGGAATTTTCAACCCATTCAGTATTGTCTTCTGACTTTCCGTCCAATTGCATGTTTTCCGTTCATCTGAAAAACATGAGAACAGCGACCTCGACCATTCTAGACAGTTGCTGATCAAAGGGCACCAAGTCGTTGTCACATTCGTTGAGATAAACAATATCATTGTCTGATAAGTCCTTGAAAACTAAGTTTGTTTATCCCCCTTGGGGTACCAGTGATCATCATTTTAGGCTATAGCGTCCCAACATTTTACTAGCAGAGACTATATTAACATAACAATGTTTTAGTAGAATATATAGTTATATCAGTTTTTATTATATTCAATCTCAATTGATTCAGATTGAGCTCATTGAGATGTTAAGTTTCTCATGGGATCTGCCTCATCAGATAAACTTTGTTACAGATTATGGGTTACTTATACATATTACACAAAAGCCTCCATAACAACTGTCATAGTTTCATGTATTCTATGTTGAGAGCAATATTTTGAAATATCATCAATCTGCAAACTCTGAGGGATTTCCTTTTGAGCAAAGTCCCCGTCTTCATTTGTCTTGCTCTTTAATCTTGGTGGAATGAAAGAATAAAATACTGTGCTTCACATGTAAATAATCACTGATCTACACATGGCAACATTTGCATCATCAACTTGTTCAGTTTCACTTTTATATTGTCTGAAAGTACTGCTCTCACTCGATCTGACTATCTTTGCACATTTTTTTAAAAATAATCCGTTGAAAAAATGTATTTTTTAAATGTACCTTCAAATATTTACACAATGCATAGAGATGAGAACTCAGGTTTTTGAAATCAAATCTCCAACAGTTATTCGCCTCTAAAAATGTTGCAAATTTCAAATCCATGATATTAGAATTCAATATGCTACCATCAAGAATATCAACATATCCCTGGATAAATCAAATAAAGCGTTATATATTTTGATGTAATGGATTGTAAAGGCGAAAACGCACAGTTTTTGTTATAAATCTGAACTATAGTAACAAGTATAATTCGGGCTTGAATTAAGAACTTCTTTTCACGTTCAGCAATTATACGATTATTTCCAAATTTTTAAGAAGTTTATGTTTCTTTGTAATTGGTTCAAAATCAATTCATGTAGCACATTTTATGTTTTTAAGCCATCGCATCAGTATCTTGACATCAAACACATAAACTAAAATACAGTGTCACTATAATCATTATCTTCAAATCTTTTAACACATCAGAGTGATCTGAGATTTGAGACTATTTTTTCTAAGGAAAGCAATTTAAATTTATTTTTATTTTATGAAGAAAGTTTTCAAAAAAATATTCTTTTCACGAAAACGTTTCTGGGATGGCGTAAAGTATTGAGAGGCAAAGGTTGAGAAAGTGTTGGTGGCTGAAATCTTCCTCTTTGCAGTGATGAAGAGCCTAATGCAATTAGTAGCCAAAATGGCTTTCCTTACATTGAAGTTCAAATAAATAATGATAAGCTGATTCAATAGCAATTCAAACTTTGAGGACAACAATTATTGTTTTCCCTTCCAAGTACATCTGCAAATTATTCACTCCAATTAAACGTGGAAAAATCCGCAAACTTCAGAGTAATATTCTTGATCTTAAATACTACAGAGGTGTAGTAAAAAGTCCACTAGGTCCAAAGGACCTTTTTTCAAGAGCACATAATATAAATCATAGGGCCAGCAACGGTCAAAGGTTATTTAAAACTCGCAGAATAGTCGAGGTCACAATAAGTGAAACCAGTTTCATAAATAGGCCAGGGATAAAAACAGAGAACTTATACACAAGGCCAGGGATTTGAGAATGACTATAAAATCTAATGGATGATGACACTAATATGCCACTCAATCGAACATGGTTTGATCCATTTTCACATGAGAAAATAAACCCTCATTGCTCGTTTGGACATATTCAAACGAACCATCACTTTTGCAAACCTACTGGCTCCTTCTCAAGTGTTATCACAAGATGCAGAGGAGCACTGTCGCGAGTTCAGGAATCAATTTAGCCACTTTTGCAGGGCTCTATATCTGGCTAAGCCCGGGGTTTGTGCGAAGGACTTCTTTGGCATCAGGAGAGTGCTCGGGGGCTGTTTCAAGAATCGATCAGAACATGCTCTAACTCTGTCATCTGATTCCTTAATGTTGTCAGCAAATTTCAGGTGCCCCGTGTACTTGTGCAATCAATCACCTCCAGGACGCCACAATACTATGTCGCTGTCATATTTGAAAAAGTGGCAGAGGCAGACTCTTCCCAGCAGACTGTCGACATGTCGATGGCAATGTATAGCATGCTCCCAATAATTCAGCGGACGGTGTGCATGTAATTCAATCACTCCTCCCCATCATCTGTGCTGCAGGATGGTGTCCAAAGAGTTCTTCTCTTGGGGACGCAATCAGCACTGAAGAAAATGGAAGGAGATTGAGCCATACTTGCCACTGCCTTGGTTATCGTCTCAGCTGAAAATTTGTCCACACAATTACAGTTTGCCACTTGGTCAAGCTTAATTCTGAGTTTGTTACGATGATCAATTTAGACAGACCTCACTCGCTGTCATTTCAAATTTGCATCCCATTGATTTATGACTTGGATTGAGTCGACATGGAGTAACCTTTGTAGCACTCGTCTCCCTCGAACACGATGATACAACTGCAATGTGGATTTGATAATCTACAAACTCAATCTCTATAGGCAAGCTTGGCAGCAATATAACTTTGAAATTGCTGACAAGAGCAGATTTCTGAATCTAACAACGCTTGATCTTTTATAATACGTAACATTGTTCTCACTACAGCACGGCTTCTGACAAAAATTGATCCTCTGATCTCTACTTTCCTCTTTGACTAGATGCGGTCAGCTTAACTGGAAAAATCTGAAGACTTTGAACTGCACTAGTACCCTTGACCTGCATGAAATAATATCTGTACTCTTACCCTCGAACTCCATGAAATAATACCTGCATGATAATCTTGTCAATGTAATCTTGACTTGCGTTCAGGCTTTTGAGATAATTGACTACAGGCAACAGATTTTTCTCCAAATAGTTGTCGAACAATAATGATCTTCTAATCAGCGGGATACCAATGTGCTCTACGTATGGCAGTTAACAAGCGGATCCAACTTCTTCGGGGCATCTTCCGTTAAAAGCATCGGATATCGAACCTCCAGCTTCATGACATCTCGTTATTGCAGTGACAAGTTTTCTAAAATTTCCAAAGATTTATGCTGGACTAAACCCTCAGAACCACATTACCCACCTCTAAGAAAAAAAATCGTTATTAAACTCATGTATAAGAACTAACTTCATCATGAACTCAAGAATAAAATTCGCCTTCAAAAATCTATCATTGTTGTAGAATAAGATGTGTCCCGATGGATTTTGTTATGAAAACTTGTGAAAGACATTGTAAACCCGATGGGGGCAATCGAACCCCTCTCAATTTTAAACAATTTTATTTTTTATTCCCCCGTCTATAATTCTAAAATATATACATATAAATATATTTACAGGCATGTCCCGTATATAAATACATGAACCCTACCCCTCAAAGGCATGCCCCCGGGCATGCCTTTCAGGTTGTGCCTCCAACCCTAATGCGCAGGCTCGATTCTTCTCCTGTTTCGGGTTTGGCAATCGTTCGGCCCGGTCTCTTTTTCTCTGCCTCCGCTGCAGTTCCTGTCCATGGTCGATCGATGATTCCGCTGCCGGAAGGTCATGGGTAATCTGTTCCAGCGTTCCACACCTACTTGAGGCCAGCTCTTGGCTCGTCCGTAGCAGAGCTAAGAGCGTCAATACTCCGATTTAGAAGATCAAGGACAGCAGCTACAAAATGCTAAAGGTGTGAGCTCGAGTAATCTCTGTGTCTGCTCTTCTTTCAATTCGCCAGTTAGAAGCTCAGTGACAAAAGCTGGAACTACCCGAAAAAGAAATCCTGCAGGTGCGCGTTTTTCGAGTTGCCAGAGGAAAATAGATTGGATGATGCTTTTGTAAAAATGTGCGAGGAAATAAGACCTGAGTGAGACGGCCACTGCTGAATTTACCGATGCATAAGTAACTGTCAACCGATGCGAGTCGGTGTTTCGGTCGATGACTACATAATTCGGAACGTCAGTGACAGGAACTTCTTACCCGTTCTCTATCGTTTATCTGACAATGCACTGATTCGTCAGTGTTATCACACTTCTCTTGTCCACACTTCTGCAGCCAGCGTTCTCAAGTTTGACAGCTGTTTCACACGTATATATGCATATATTGCAATACACAATTGTTTTCATATGTGCCCATCTGTTTCAATCCGCGTTAGAACTTTTGTCGACGCTAACTCACAGTTGACTTGACTGAGTACTGTCTCCTTCTGAGATGTTGCAGATTCCGAGATGAACTCTTATGTATAATCCTTTGAAAGCTCGTTCGTTAAGATGGAGCCCGAAAGAGACCAGCATCAACCTCAAGATGCATGGGAAAGTCTACCTATCGATTTCCTGATCAAGATTCTCAGAGATCATGATCTGCCAATTTCCTCTCTTCTGGAATGTCGTTCAGTTCGTAAGAAATGGAAGGAAGTCATAGATGGTCCTGAGTTACGGAACAGAATATGGAAAAATTCTGTTATTGTGTTCAAAGATGTTACTCGTAGTGAAAATACGGCCCACTTCTGCTATAGAGATCGATGGATCACAAGTAATCTTGAATTTGGGCCCGATCAGGTGGTCGCTTCTGATGGAGGCCTACTGTGTTTTGGTTGGGAACTTTCAACAACATATGTCATGTACAACCCAGTTTCGGACGAAATCCTGCTTTTGAACGTACCTCTTGAAATCGATGGAGAACATACAGTCATTGATGATCCAGTTATAAATTTCCTGAATCGTAAGGTGGTGGGTTTAGTGGTGGACCAATATACGAAAAACTTCAAGTTGGTTTTGGGAGGAGTTCCAGTCGCAATAGATAGACGCAGAACTTTGATTTACGACTCGACGACCGGTACATGGTCGTGGGGAATTCATCCGTTTCCTGAATCAATGGAAGACTTGCGTGACTGTAGGAGAAGTGTAGTATGTAATGGTTGTCTGTATTGGCTCGTACTGGTTAACTCTTGGATTGGTCTCTTGATATTTGATCTGGAAGAGGGCACGTGGAACGCCTTGGTAGAGGAATCCGAGGAGGCCACGCCAATTGACCTTCAAATGGCTGCGTATGAACGACATGTGTGCCTTCTTGGCAATGATTGGCCTCCTCTGGAAGGGGAGTTTGAACGTAGGAGCGATGTCGCCAACTTCCTCCGCAGTCCCATGGTCCAGAGAATGGATGGAGCTTTGATCAGGAGAGTTAGAAATCTATATGACGTGACATGGAACGAGGACGAAGCAATGGACGAAGCAATGGGCGAAGCTGCTATCAGGAGATATACAAATCTATGGGATATTCTAGATCCCATTGATTTCGAATATCCCATAGTTTTAAACTTCTATGCCACAGGAGGCAGGGATGCATATTTCGTGTTCGATAAAGGGTACATACACCTTGACGTGGTTAAATATTGTGCTGACTTTGACTGGATTGTTTGTCTACCCAAACCTCCCAACGGATACAGGGTTCAATGTTCTGTATGTGAGTTCCCCGACGACCCTTGGTGTGCAATAATTCCAAGTCCCAGAGGAAGTGCAGGGCAGGGGTGGATAACACAGCAAGAGTACGTAGCACAGTATCCGAGACGTATGCAGGAGGATGATATCCGTTCGGCTTTTCGTCGTTTGAATTTGGCTTAGTGATCAGCTGATTCAATAGGGTAAAAATGGGAAATAGATTTTCAGCTTCAGAAATGTGGGGATTTTTAATCCTATTTAGTCGTGTTATAAAAAGATAAGTATACATTTTAACCTCTTTTAACTCAATATCATATCTTTGGCTAAGAACATGCAATATGTATTGCTGAAGATGAAAGTTTCGTTAATTGGTAAATATAATGATTGTTAAGTTGAAGTTTTTTTGAAATATTAGTGTAGATACAACTTAATTTTATTGATAAAAATTGGAGGAAGCTAAATTCTAGTATCAAATAAGATTGTGAATTATATCCCTTGGTTAAGTTTAATATCACAATAACATACTTTGTGAGAAATTTGCATGTGCGTGCTTTTTATCTCAATATATGTGGCAGCAAATTTATTTTGATAAATGATTGTTGCAATAAGAATCTGTATTACTTTTAGCATTCAAATTTTTATTAAGAATGATAAGCAAATTAATATGGGACAGGCTAGTTATTCTTCACTAAAAGCTAATTATCCTTCACGATAGGTTAATCTTCCCATTATTACCACTATTTCTCCCGTTTCACTCCGTCCGCGAAGACTCTATACCCCGTTTGGTCTTTCCTTGCGTGGTATTTACCTATCAAAAATCTCTTTTCTTAGGTTGAGGTATAATTAGAATCAAGCGAAGGATAAGTAGCCACTCCCATATATGAACATGTTCTCAAGGATAGAATTTGCCTTCAATGAATAATGAGGTCAAGTTCAAAAAATAGCTAATGGAAAAAAGGAAATGTTTTGATGCGCAAAGTAGGAGTTTGTCGATTTTTTTCTCCTCTTTTGGTGACTACAATTGCAATATCCTTGTGAATCTTTTGAATGAAATTGCTATGAAATTTAGGGGTCGAGCTGATATTAAACCTTATGAAAGATAACTTTCTGAAGTTGAGGTTTTGAAATTGCGACTTTGATTCAAAGTGAACATTCTAAATAACTAGTTAAGAATATCAACATGTCCCTCGATAAATCAAATAAAGAGTTAAATATTTTGATGTAATGGATTGAAGAGGCGAAAACGCACAATTTTTTTTATAAAGCTTACCTATAGTAAAAATTATAATTTGGGCTTGAATTAAGAACTTTTCTTCACGTTCAGAAATGGTCAGCTTATTTCCAAAGTTTCAAGATGTTTTTTTTTTTTTTAATCGGTTCAAAATTAAATTATGTAACACATTTTATGTTTTAAGTCATCGCATCAGTATCTTGACATCAAACACATAAACTAAAATACAGTGTCACTATAATCATTATCTTTAAATCTTTCAACACATCAGAGTGATCTGATATTTTAGACTTTTCTACTAAGGAGAGAAATTTAAAATTTTATTCTTGTATAGAGAAAGTTTTCAAAAAATTATGCTTTACACAAAAACTTTTCTGAGATGGCGTAGAGTATTAAGAGGCAGAAGTTCAGAAAGTGATGGTGGCTGAAACCTACCTCTTTGCAGTGATGAAGAGCCTAATGCAATTAGTGGCCAAAATGGCTTTCCTTTCATTAAAGTTCAAATAAATAATGATAAGCTGATTCAATAGCAATTCAAAGTTTGATGACAACATATTCCTGTTTTCCCTTCCAAGTACATCTGCAAAATTATTCACTCCAATTAAACGTGAAAACTCCGCAAACTTTTGAATAATATTCTTGACATCATATACTACAGAGGTGTAGTCTAAAGTCCACTAGGTCCAAAGGACCACCTTTAAGGAGCACATAATATAAACCATAGGGCCAGCGACGGTCAAAGCTTATTTAAAACTGGCAGAATAGTCGAGTTACCCATAAGTGAAACCAGTCTCATAAATAAGTGAAACCAGTCTCATAAATAGGCCAGGGATAAAAACAGAGAGCTTATGTACAAGGCCAGGGATTTGAGAATGACTTTAAAATCTAATGGGTGATAACACTAGTAATGCCACTCAATCAAACATGGTTTGATCCATGTTTACATGAGAAAATGAACCCTCATTGCTCGTTTGGACATATTCACACGAACCATCAGTTTTGCAAACCTACTGGCTCCTTCTCAAGTGTTATCACAAGATGCAGAAGAGCCAGTCGCGAGTTCAGGAATCAATTCAGCCAATTTTTCAGGGCTGTATATCCGGCTAAGCCCGGGGTTTGTGCGAAGGACTTCTTTGGCATAAGGAGAGTGCTCGGGGGCTGTCGCAAGAATCGATCAGAACATGCTCTAACTCTGTCATCTGATTCCTTAATGTTGTCACCAAATTTCAGGTGCCCCATGTACTTTTGCAATCAATGACCAATTTCTGAGCCTTGAATTTTATCTCAATAGTGCTCTCCAGGACGCCAGAATACTATGTCGTCGTGATATTTGAAAAAATGGAAAAGTTGCGGCAGACTCTTCCTTGCAGACTGTCGACATGTCGATGGCAATGTATAGGATGTTCCCAATAATTCAGCGGACGGTGTGCATGTAATTCAATCACTCCTACCCATCATCTGTGCTGCAGGATGGTGTTCAAAGAGTTCTTCTCTTGGGGACGCAATCAGCACTGACGAAAATGGAAGGAGATTGAGCCATACAGGTATGGCTCAATCTCCTTCCATTCATCTTCCATCCATTCCTTCCATCATCTCCTTCCTGCCACTGCCTTGGTTTCGTCTCAGCTGAAAATTTGTCCACACAATTGCAGTTTGCCACTTGGTCAAGCTTAATTCTGAGTTCGTTACGATGATCAATTCAGACAGACCCCACTCGCTGTCATTTCAATTTTGCATCCCATTGGTTTATGACTTGGATTGAGTCGACATGGAGTAACCTTTGGAGCACTCGTCTCCCTCGAACACGATGATACAACTGCAATGTGGATTTGATAATCTACAAACTCAATCTGTATTGGAAAACTTGGCAGCAATATAACTTTGAAATTGCTAACAAGAGCAGATTTCTGAATCTAACAACGCCTGATCTTTTATACTATGTAATATTGTTCTCACTACAGCACGGATTCTGACAAAAATTTATCCTCTGATATCCACTCTCCACTTGATTAAATGCGGTCAGCTGAACTGCAAAAATCTGAAGACTTTGAACTGCACTCGTACCCTCTACTTGCATGAAATAATATCTGCACTCTATCTCTACCTGCATATATTAATATCTGAACTACATCGTCTTCAAAGTCTCAGGAAAAACGAGAGGGTTTATCTCTGGGTGATCGTGAAAACTCTGAAGACAATTGTTAGCTATTCCTGTTCTACTCGGAGTCCGTTTATTCATCCTGTCTGTGACATGAATGGACGTCTACAAAAAGCCATATGAACTTGTGATCAAAGTTCATAAAGCCATTTAGATCACGTTTGTAAGGAGCAGAGCAATCCAAGACGGTGCAGAAAGAAGAAAGCTGGTACGATTCCAGCATGTTCAGTGAACTTAGGCCACAATTTACGTTCATGGTAAATGTTTTAAATTTCAAGCGCTTTACCCCTCCTTCTAAGCGAAATGAAAGTTCCTTGTTTCAACACAGGCAAATAAAGAGCTGCAAGAATGAGTTCAAGGCAAAACAAGAGATGGAGCAAGAATAAAAGATAACAAGAAAACAAATTAACGAACTAATCCTTCCGGTCAAATTTACACAATGGATCAATCAACGCTAAGTCTTCAAGCTTCGGAAAATCAAGCGGATTCTTTCACCTTCTTTGACATCCGTTGACGATAGTGGATGGACTGTCCAAACCATCACATTGCGTTGCAGAATTGCCCGACATTGACTGCCGATCTTGCTAGCCTTAGTTCCTCTGTCACCGTCAATCGCAGAAGCCACGAGATATTTTTAAAAGCATCTGCGGTGATACAAGGACAAATCCATCACCTCTTTCTCAAGCTGTGGCATGCGTCAGCACGTGTTACAGTAACTCCCGTCACCTACCCATTGTTCAAGCTTTCGAAGCATGTAGTTCAGAATTTTAGGTCTAATGATCGAAGATATGAGTTCATAGTAGTTGATCATGACAACCTAACATGTAATATGAACGTCTTGTTTTTATTCCACAAATGATATGAAGAATAATTTATGTTAACTATATATAGATATAAAATAGATGTATTGTTGAAAGATTTAATAATATAATTATGAAAATAACATCTATAATATTAAATATATGTATCCTAAATATATATAATTTTTTATACACCGAGTGACAAATGTATTAAAGAATATCACTAAATCATTTTAAAAGAATAAATTAGATATAAAATTATTAGAAAAAAATCCATTTTAATTGAGAATCTCTATATTCTTTCCATGAACTTTATTTATAATTTTAAACTATACTAGACAAATAACAACTTTTTTCATCTAAGACCCCCCAATTTCTGTTCATACAAAAGAACGTTGTATTAATCTAAAGAAAACAATATACGGAATGAAGAATATAGTTCAAAAACTAGAGAAAAATATATATATTAGTACACTCATCTATTCTAAATCTTCAGAAACATCTCTTTTTATGTAACAACCCTCTAGTTATTTGTTTTACATAACAATTATTTTCCCAAAGTTTGTGTTTAATATTGAAGATGAGTTCAAATTTCATTTAACGTAGCAACTAGCTTTGTTTCTCAAATATTCAATTCTTTTTCCGATAAAAAGAGGATAATTTCACTTTACATTACAAGTGTTGATAAAAAAAACTTAGAATTCAATACTTGATATTCTTTATATGTATTTTCACTCGGTAAATGAAAGATTTGAATAATCATGTTTAAACAATATAACTGAGATTATCATAGAATAGAGGTATTCTACAATAGTACTCCAGCTCTTCCATACCAGTCTCTATCGTTCATTAATGTTCCAATTTTATGTCCACTCGTTGTTTACATTTCCCATTTCTATTCAAAGGAAACTTGTGATCATTTTAACTATAGGTCATAGACAGACAGATGATAGCTGAAAATGTGTAAAGTTTATGGCTGGATGATACGAAGATCAACTTTGGACACTTTAGAACATTGACTATTTCGTTTACGCATCCGAATGACTAGATTGGCTATATAATTATCAATGTATTGTATTTTACATAGTAT